TATTATCACATAAAACAAAGCAACTTAAACAACTTACATTGAAAGAAATGTTTAATAAAGTAAACAAATAAATGTTAAACTTTTTTTTTTTTTTTTTTTGTAAATTTTGATACCCTTTAGATCATAATTGTTCTTTATTTCATAAATTACGGTTTCATATTTTTAATTTTATTAATTTCTGCATGCCATCTTACCAGATTTAAACTGATGATCTATAATCCGGAAAATCGATAATCTGGAATCGCCAAAGTCCCGACGAATCCGGATTAACGACTTTTGACTGTATATTAATGTACATTTTCTGTTCTTAAAATTATTGATAATGCACTACTGATAAGTACTAATATTCACAAAATTACTAAAGGGTGTTATTCAAGATGGCATATTTTTGGTGTATAATAATGTTTTGAACAATTTTATATTAAATATCTCAAGTTAATCCTTTTTCCACTTCCTAATAATGATTTCAGAATTTACTGATTCAATTGATTTATTTTCTTAATGTGTGTCTATATTTAATTATATAATGTGAAGTCTATATTTAATTTTCTCTTCATTAGCAAGCTATAATTTTTTAAATTTATCATCATGCTCTTTTTTACTTAATTTATTATTCATACATTTTTTTATATCTGAAATGTATGTACTATAGTTCTATTATCTATTTCTGAATTCTCTGTAAAGTATAAACTTCAAATGTTCTTTCAATAATAATAACTTTTGTATAATCCACCTTGCGATGTCACATCTTTGCACATATAAGAATTACATTAATGTAAACAGAGATGCTATATCATGAAGGAGTTAGTCTAATTCGTAAGTTCAGGTTATTTCTTATTTGTTGGAAGGTATAAAGCAAGTTTGATGGAGATTCAGTGAATGAGTGTATTGCATATGAGAAAATAATGTTATCAAACTTTTTTTAAACTATTGGATTACTTTAGGACACATTAAAGAACAAATGAAGATACTAAAGCAACAAAAATCAACTTAAATGGCCTGAAGAATGGTTATGCACATAGTTGCCAGAGTTTGGCATATTTTAAAAATTTGGTCACGTCTACTAAAGTGATTACGATAAAGTGATTACTTAAGTACCGAGATGCAGCATAGTGGCTCTATTGCATGAGTGATAATTATTTTTAATTTCAAGTATTTAATGTTTTTGCACATGTTTAATTATTTTTAATTTCAAATATTTTATATTTTTGCAGATTTAATTATTTTGTGAAATTAACATTTCTTTTATATTGAATGGCAACAATTAGTATGTTCATGATGATTTTGACTTTGAATTTTAATTCTGTTGTTTATGTCATTCTAAGTAGCAGCTCATTTTGATGGAGGAAACAGTAAACTTAGCTATTTGGGAGTGATTCTTGCTGTATTCTAAATTGTAATGCAATCCAAATACCGATAGTCAGTGGTTGGTTACCTGTTAATGACTAATTTATGTTTCTGAAATGACAACAAGCGAGTCTTCTTGAACTACTGAGAAAGAATCAGTGCAATCCCTGGAGTTCATAGGGTGACAAAATTAATAATACTGTTTCAGGAGAAACGAAGCTTAATTATTTTGTTTTACTACTTGAACCTAAGTTTGTTAAAAATATTTGGGATATTGTAATGAACAACAGTGCCACAAAATATTCGGATGCTGAAATTATACTATTTAAAATTGTGAACATGTATGCATTAAAGGTTTAATTACTGGTATTGAGTTTGGCAACAGGAAACCAAGACAACTTTTGCATAACTTAAAATCAGTTGCTACTAGGATGTGTCTGATAATTTAATTAAAACATATTGGGGTTATATATATTAGAATTTGAGAAATGGGGAATTATTGGTATCCTGAAGTGTTTATAGTGAAAAATAATAAATAAATCACAGCTAAAAGATTAGAGTTACATGATAGAAAATGAGTAGGATAGTGGGAAAAAGCCAATTAAAGATAGGAGGATTGTTGAAATTGTCATCTGATGACTAAATAGATGCTCCTTTGGCTGTTTTATTGCCAAAAATCAAAGCCACAGTCATACGGACACCTAGTGATAACAGGCTGTGCTGTTTAAAGCTTTCGTTATTTAACTTTCAGACTGTCCATGCCTTTCGTTGCAAACATCTAAGTTGAAAGACTTGAAACATTCTTTGTACAAATGCATCTGTTACTGCAGATTTCTTAAAAAGTGCTGCATTTGAAAAATTCAAACTTTGAATATGTCAGTGATTGGTTTAGCTTGGTTTCATCAATTTGAATTGTCAGTTCTGTTTTCCTTTTTGTGCTTTTTTAAACTAATAATTGCTAATCAGTTGGATGAATGTTCTGCTGTAATTCATTTTAGTTACATCATTAAAAAATATTGCAGCTAGAAGTCTAATGACTATTTATTAGTGTATGTAAAATAAAAATGACTTAACTAGAAGGCCAGGCTTTTAAGGAAAGCCCCACTGTCATCTTGAAACAGATTATGATGGTGGTTATAATTGGAGAGCAGTTTCCTTGAATAGTTTGGTGAACAGTTTGCTTGAAGCAAAGTTGCAATTTTGAATACCTTTAACTATCTGACCATGATTCCATTTACATGATATCATTTATTCTGAAATATATACGTGGAGAACTTTCTTATCATATTAGCGCTTAAATTTTATGCTACATCAATGCGGCAATTACTATTCCTTCTCCAATTTATGATTTCATTTGAATCATATTGTCTGATTTTTATAAATTTTACATCCTTGGTCGTAGGGTTAAAGTATACATTGTTAATAGAAGCTACTAATCTGATATGGAATAAAAGTGAGCTGAACGATGAATTATAATAAGTTCTTTTCTGACTTGCGATAAGCTGATTGATGATAATATTTTGTCTGAAGAAATGTTAAAAGAAGCTTACTTAGTAGTGATTTAAGATTTTCCTGGTGCTACTTTGGTACACGGTTGCACGGATTTTTGGCGATTTACATTGGCGCAATTGTTGGCGCGATTTTTACAATCGTCAGCCATCTTGAAAAACGCTGTTTTTACGCATAGTAAAGTATTCTAAGCTTAAAAAAAAAAATAAATAAATATCGTTAAAATGGATTAATTTTTTGTTGAAAATGTCGTTTTTTAAGATGGCGGACAAGTGTAAATAAATACATTTACTATGAGTATAAAGTACTAAAATAAGGCAATTATTACTTTCATATAGCAAAAAAGAGAATAAAAACACCGCTATAAAAACATTGTGCCAACGTTTAATTAGATTAAAATATTACTGAAATTGAATATTGAATAAAAAACCATCCTGCCAACATTTAAAAGAATTAGAATATTATTAAATTCAAATGCTTTAAAATACGTTATATAAAATATAATTAACATTAAAACATATGTGACAATAATTATCTCAGCAATTTTTGAAAATAGTGTATTAATTTTTTTAACAAAAACTGAAGTATACAATTATAAAATAAAAGAAAAATATGTACTTACATTTTTTTTTAGTAATTTAACCTCTTGTTTATTGTCAAGTACCACAAAAAAAAAATCGAAATCATAATTGAATCGGATCTTTTAACAATCTTCGTCTATTATCCAAATATCTCACACTTCATTGAAGAAGCAATTAGCAAGGTTTCCTCCAAAATTTCCTCTGACGCTATTAACAATTTATAAATAAATCTTTGATTAGGAAAGACAGGTTGGCCAAAATAAAGTCTCAAAGGGCAGTTTTTTTATTCCAATACCAATAATTCTTGGTAATTACCAATAACAACATTCGTCTTCGAAACGGAGATATCCATTCCATTTGAAATCCAAGGAATTCGAAGAGATCAATAATAAAATTTTAAAATGGCGCGGTAATGCACAAATATTCAGTAACCAATCAGGCAGTTGATTACATCACGCATAGAATTAAAGTTATTTAAATAAGCATTCATAATAAAATCATTTTTAAAACAAATGCAAAATTAAATTGTATTTTAATGTTTAACAGCCATAAATAATGTTTAAAACATTAGATTAAATTTATAGATATTAATAAAACCAATTACTTTTTAAGTAAGGTGACGTCATTGATTACATCATCCACAACATAAAATTATAAAAAATTTATAAACAACAAAATTTTTATTTCAAATAAAAATGTAAAATTAATTGATTTTAATATTTAGAAGCCGTAAATAATATTTAAAACACGGAAGTTATGCATAATAAAACGCATTATTTTTTTAAATAAAATGACAACAAAGTATCGGTTACCATAAATAACTTATCCAGCAATGGGTTTACCGTAAGTTGTATTACTCGCCAAAAGGCAAATCGCCAAAATCCGTGCAACCGTCTACCAAAGTAGTACCATTTTCCTTTGCAATGCTTGGATAGGATAGTACGAGTGATAATAGGTGTTAAAGCAAGTCCAAATTGGTGATCGTGTGGGATGATGACAACTTGACGATACAGTCAAACATCTTTAATCTCTCACATCAAACATCTAATATATCATTCTACTTTTTGCATCATTTTCTCAAAACATCTTTATCAATTATCTGTGTAACTTATTCTAATTCCATCGTATAGTTCAAGGAGGAAACGCTGTGCACTATCTTCAAAACATAAATGATTATAACTTTTTTTTTTTTCCAATTAGAACTAATAAAATTTTAGAAAAATTATAAAAACTGGAAGAAAAAAGTGTCAATTAAAAAAAAAATGTATAAATTTCTTATATTGGATTGTTACAATTTGAACCTTTCCTCTAGTTGTATAAAGTAACATTATATATATATATATATAAGAAATTATGAGACCACTTTTGTTACGAGTCAGGTTTGTTATAGCTGAGCTTGATTGTATTTTCTTTAAGCTAATCTGATTTTATTAACCTTTGAGCTAAAATTATAGAAGCTTAATTCTTTTTTTGAAGCCATACTAATGAAATATTTTATTTGCTTGTGATTTGTTTTTTACTATTCTGTAATGTGCATAATTAAATGCATTTTTTTTTTAACAGGCCAAATAGTATCTTGGTTTATAACTGCTCCTCTGGTAGCATCAACAAAGTAACATGGGGAGCTGTTGAACAGTTAGCCATTCCATTAATATTGCGGCATCCAAGCCATGAGATATTCCGATACCCTAATGGTAGTTTTACAAATAGCAAAATCTGGAATTATCTATCTGTGATGCTGTATCATCATATTCCTGCATATTTTATTGACTTAGTTGCTGTTCTTACTGGTCATAAACCAAAGTATGTGTTTTTGTTTCTTTTTCTTTTCATGTTACAGCCTATAAAAGTGTACATGTGTGCAAATTTGTGCATATTTTTTGTTCCAGTTACATAATAATGAAAACTATATGTGTAGGCATTATTATTATTATTTGAATCTTTTAAAATTAGACCAAAAATTATGGCAGTTAGTCAGTTTGCTGTCAAATCTTGAATTTTAAGCATGCATTCATGGCAGACTTTCAGGTTACTTTTTGAATTTTCTCTCTTTACTACATCAAAAACACTCTTTTTCTTTAAGGATATGAATTTCTTTGTTTGCGTGATTACGTTTGGCGATATTTTAAAACCTATTTGTGTGCAAAAAATTTAAGTCAATGATTTCTGATAATTCATTTCATGGTAATTTTTCTCCACAAATATAATAATGTTATTAAAATATAAAATAATGATAATGTATTAAAATTACACTTAATATCAAGTAATATTAAAATATATGCATAATATTAAAATGAAACATTTCTATTTCCCTTGTTGTGTTTAAAAGTATTTTTATGATTTTTTTGCAATTTTTGTACATCATGATTCTTAAATTTAGACAAAATGATGACTGTTACAAGGAGCAGTTTCTGAATAGTTTTAAATGAAAACAGAAAAAACTGCTCTCGGTATATCAAAATTAATTTCAAGTATTAAATTTTCTATTTTTAATTATAAAGGTTTTCTGCATGCAGTTGTTTCAAAATATTCAAATATGTGTCAATTTTCCCTGTAAAAGTTTTAGTATGCCTTTGTTTATTGCTAAATTTTCTGATTTTGACTGTCATGAAGTTGGCAAGTATAAATGTATTTTATTTGCATGCCTGTAGGGGTTCTGTTGTATCTAGAAGCTTGTGTTAATGTCTTTCTATTATGCTGCTGAGCGAGCTATCGGTTAATCAGAAACTAACCACCAAGATTTAAGAAGGTTAAAATAACTTTTTTTTTTTTTTTTTTTTTATAGTCCAAAGGGGCATTTGAATCCTGAAGGACTATTAGTTTTTGTTTTGGCATTTCTGCGTCGGACGGATTAAATGTCAGTTTCACTTTTCAAACTGTTGCCATAAAATGTTAGAGTCCTGCATTATATTTGAAGAAAAAATTAAATAATGAAAAAATCTGCGTACATAAATGTATGTATATTTCTCACATTGTCATAAAACAACGATAACGGTACATAGAGTCATCGAATTTTGAATAACGTAATCCTCCAACGAATATGAGGCATGTGGAAGACCAAATTTGAAATTTGAAATTTGTTATGATCGATTTCCTATTTTTTAAAACTTTGACGAATTTTTGATTAACAAACTCAAGGATTTCAAAGCGAGCAATGGCAACATTGTGTGCAGAAAAACATTTTTATCTCCAGCGCGTGAGTCTCTGTATTGGAAATTCTAAAGATATGCTCATTTTAAAACTATTTTGCGATATTGCTGTTGCACTGGATCTTATGGTTTAAGTGCGAGGAACATGATATTTAATAAAGAAAGGTAACACACAAAATGTTAAAAAACGCCCCTTTGGACGTAATTTAAAATCTGAAACATTTCAGATTTTTTTTTTATTTATTTATTTTTTTTTTAAATTTAACTCTTAAATGAATAGAAAGACATGTCTTTTGTGGCAAACGAGCCTACAGTACTCACTTGCAGGTATTTAAATTAAGATTAAGTTAATTAACTGCCGAGATTGCAAGAGCTGTCTTTGACAGCTTCGGAGCTATATAATTGCACTTTGTCATAGACACGACATCATCATCAACTTAAGATTAAGTTAAATTCAAATGTAGGTAATATAGTTTGAGACTACAATACAAAATAGACTAAGGTGGTCCAAGATAGCTAACAATGCACATTTAAATGTCAGCTTTTAAGGTGCTAAAGCCAAAAATAAACTTAGGCAGGGCTGATGATAACAAGCAACAGCAAGATGAAGCTGCCAGATGCTCTTAATGCTTACACAAACAACAAATTTGCATTACTGAGGATTATGGAAAGAAGTTATAGCAAAGGTTTAAGTTATAGCAACTGGTTAATTAACATAAACATTTATGTACTTTTCAATATTATTATTCCTTAGTCATATCGCAGCATACATTCACAGTACAATTTTGATTTAGCAATAAATTTTATGTAGATATGTACAGTAGTTTCTGGCCCCATTACATAAAAAGAAGTGTTAGTAATGAGTTTGTCTTGCAGACATTAAAGTGGCAATATGAATGGACAAATTCTGATGTTTCTTAGGTGACATTTTTGCTCCTTTTTTGACTGTTTGCTGAATGAAGTAATGTGCTAGTTTGCTTTAAAATGCTTTTAAGAGTCAGTATTATTCTGTGGTTGAATTTTTGACTAATGAAGGTAT